TCGTTTTTATTACAATTGACAGTAAATACAATGTTTTATACAATGCTTTAGAACTAGTGGTCATATTCGAGGAAATATTTGCAAATAACTCAAAACTTTCGAAATTGTTTCTTGAATTTCTCGAAAATATAATCGTCGGACGCCTTGTCTTTGCCGTAAAACTTGTTGTGGTTTCGATCGGAACCGTTGTTCTGTAAGATAGCCTTTTGTTTGGGTTCGTCGCCGATCACAACCACCGGTTCGTCGACGTATGTCTGTGTCTGTTGTCTGTCGTCCACCCGAACCCGTTTGGGAGCAGTGCTGAGTCGCGGCACGTCTTCCGGCAGATTATAGCGATTGTGTTGAACAAAACAAACGGCTATATTGTTGGGAACAAATGAAGACGCGTTTCCCTCATTCCATCTGTTATTCCTCTTCACCATTAGTTTACTCTTTGCCTCTTCTGTCGCCTCAATGTTTCGAATCTTCTCTTCTAATCCTAACTCTATTTCTGGGATTCCGTTAAGCATTTGATTTGAAAGCATTTCTTCGCTCTTTTTGGCGTTTGTTTGGATCAGATGTTCGGGCAATACATCGAACAATACATTCATATCATTGGACACATTGACCGGCACTGAAGACTTGTTGTCAGTGTTGGCGAGTTGTTTGCCTTTGCGTCGCGAGAGCTCTTCCTCGATGTACTTCATTAGATCCGTGTCTTCGTCTCTACGGTTGGTCTCCACAGAGAAAGTGTTTCCCAAATCTAATTCATTGGTCAATGTCTTCACGTCGGAAGTGATGCCACCCTTGATCTCAGTCTTATTGGTATTCGTGATAACAATAGGGTTTTGAGTCAACTCTAAGATATCGATGCCTTTATTGGATCTCTTCCTCAGGTGTTGTGTTTGTTTCAATTCATGCAAACGCTTCCACTCGTCGTCTTCTTCTTCGCCCAACACTTGCGACTCGTCTTCAGTATTGGTCTTCATTTGACGCCTTTGTTGACCAAAACGAGTCTTCTTCTTGAAGACCACTTTGTGTCCACCATCTGGTGATGTGTTGGAAGTGTTGGAAGCGTTTGCAGTGATGTCTGAAGAGTCACTCATTTCACAACAACAATACGTTTTCAAGTATTGAACAAACAATATATGGTTCACAACAACTGTTACACCAATTGATTGCCATTTCAGACAACAAACTTATCAATTAATAATTGACAAATATTTTTCACTTGTGAGCCGTATATTTAGTCAATTTTGTCAAAAAATGAGCTAGGTGCGTTTAATATACCTTAAAATATATCATACAGTATTTAAAAATTATTTATTATTTTTAATAAAAGCGGAGTTTTCGGACAAATGCGGCAAAAATTCGGGAGTTTTCACAAAATAAGAAAAATTGGGAATATTCGGGGAAATATAAATGATATAATTTGGAACCTTTATAACCCTCCAGACTAATGGGATGTCATTTAAGTAACTAAATTTAATCGAGAATTCCCGAAAAATAGCGGTTTTACTTAAAGTATTTGACCAACACTAGCTAATATACTGTGAATATTTTTAATGATTCATTGTAGTTTGTAGTGGAAACATAAGTTTTAGTTTATAAGTTTTAAGAGTGAGAGTAATAATATGTAGATAGTATATTTCTTGATTTAGAAAAATCATATTTGAACTTAATGTGACATCGTATTACCGGTTAAAATACTGTCAGTTTATACGGTATATACGTTATATGTGAACACTTGATTGGAGGTAAAATTTGCAAAATAAATTATTTCTATGAAGATTAAGCATAAAATATGCGATAAATTGGAAATTTGTTTATTAATAGTTAACAATTTATTTGATTAAAATAAGGATAAAAGTCTTGTTTTTATCAACAAATTATTTTTCCTTATATTCAAACTCAAAACAAGTTTATCTTAATTTTATTATTTCTTTTATTGAGAAAAATATTTGTTTTAAATGTTTATTAATAATAGAAAAGTAGAATTAAATAATAAAACAAAATTAATAATTTCCCGATTAAGTGGTTTAAAAGCTATAATTTTGCAAAAATAAAGTATAATTTAACGCATTATAGCATTAATACAATGTTTTAAAACTAATTTATTTAATTATATATTTCAAGGAATGATAATATGGATCATAAAGATATAGATTATTAGTTCCCTAAACATATCAAAAGTTCTATTAAATTACCACAAATTGATTGCAAATAAAACATTCATCAAAACAGTATTTATTTGAAATTGAGGACAGCGTTGACGATAGACTTGGAGCCGATTCCGAACATATCGATGAGTGCCTGCGGGGGACCACTTCGGGGAATGTCTCGGACGGCCAGGATTTGGACCCTAATGTTTTCGGAAGCAACGGCTGAAGCGACCGCTTCTCCCAAACCTCCTTCGGGGTAATGGTCTTCAATGGTAATGATTTTACCGCCGCATTCTTTGGCATTAGCTATGATAGTCTCCTTATCAATAGGTTTAATAGTGAACGGATCGATCACTCGGGCCTTTATCTGGTATTTTGAGGCCAATTCGTCGGCGGCTTTCAGAGCCTCGTGAAGAGTAACTCCGGCGCCAATCAACAAGACTTGTTCGCCGCCATACTTTCGGACGACTTTAGCTTTTCCGACGGCAAACGGCTCGTCATTCTTGTAGATGACTGGGAATGTCGGTCGAGAAGTTCGGATGAATGCAATTCCGTGAGACTGAGCGCACAACTCCATCGCTCTCTCCATTGATACCGCATCCGACGGGTAATAGACAGTCGAGTGAGGGATTGTCCTAAACATAGCGATGTCTTCTAATGCCATTTGTGAGGGTCCGTCCTCTCCAATAGAGACGCCGCAGTGCGAGCCGACACACTTGATGTTGGCCTGAGATATGGCGGCCATTCGTATTTAGGGATTGTCCTAAACATCGCGATGTCTTCTAATGCCATTTGTGAGGGTCCGTCCTCTCCAATAGAGACGCCGCAGTGCGAGCCGACACACTTGATGTTGGCCTGAGATATGGCGGCCATTCGTATTTGATCGAAGGCTCGCGTGAAGAACGACGCGAATGTCGAACAGAAAGGGATAGTTCTTTGCCGACAACCGGCGCCGACGGCAACGCCCACCAGATTTTGCTCAGCGATAAAGCACTCGATATATCGGTCGGGAAATGCCTTTTTGTAGACTTCAGAAAAGGTACTGTTTTTGGTGTCGCCGTCCATTGCGATCACTTGCGGACACGTCTTTCCCAACTTGACCAGAGCCGGGCCGTACGCCTGACGGGTGGCCATCAGATCTCCCAACTTATAGTTCGGTGGTTCAGACAACTTAACAGACTTGAGATCCACAACGGGAGCACTTCCCGGGGGTTTGATCGCCAAATTCAGATTACCTGAGATTTTCTGTTTCAAAACATTGATCACTTCCGACGCCTTATCGCCCAAAGGCTTTCCGTGCCAATTGTCCTTATCCTCAATCCCTACAAAACCTCTACCTTTATATGTTTGAGCGATGATTGCTTGCGGTTTGCCTTTAGTTTTTGAGCACTTATCGAATGCATCGGCGAGTGCCTCAACATTATGCCCGTCCACGACATGAGATTCAAAGCCAAAGGCATTCAAACGATTCAAATAGATATCCATCTGATGACCAAAAGCCGTGGCTTCGCTCTGACCCAATCGATTCACATCGAAAATGGCCACTAAATTGTCGAGTTTATAAATGCTCGCGAAAGACAGCGCTTCCCAAATGGATCCCTCGGCTGACTCTCCGTCTCCAATAATACAATAGACTCGATACGGGCTTTTGTCCACATATTTGCCGACGTATGCCATTCCGGCGCCAATGCTTAGCCCCTGTCCTAAAGAACCGGTCGCGACGTCAACGAAGTTTAATCTCGGCGTCGGATGTCCCTCGAGATCGGAGTTGAGTTTTCTTAGATTCATGAGATCACTGACGGGGAAGAGTCCAGTGCGAGCCCACGCGGCATACAGTATGGGCGCCGCGTGTCCTTTGCTTAGAATGAACCGATCGTTGGCCGCACTCTTCGGCTCTTTAACCGAGTATTTCATTGTATGGAAGAACAAAACTGACATCAATTCTGAGCCCACGCGGCATACAGTATGGGCGCCGCGTGTCCTTTGCTTAGAATGAACCGATCGTTGGCCGCACTCTTCGGCTCTTTCACCGAGTATTTCATTGTATGGAAGAACAAAACTGACATCAATTCAGCGATCGATGCGCAAGAGGTTGGATGTCCTGATTTGGCCGCATTTGTCGATTCAATTGAGTCTATTCTCAACTGATTGGCCATATCTTCCAACTGTTGGATCACTTCTTTGCTGAGAGCCATTTCTATCAATTTTTATAGTTTATAAAATCAATTATATTTCAAACAATTTCGATGAATTAATTTTATGAATACCTTAACTATTGGTTAGTTTCAATGAAAGTTATAATTATTATTTTTTTAAAATCAAAAACAATTAATGTTTAACGAAATGCAAGCGAGAAGTGAATGAATGCTAGATTTCGTCTACACTTTATAGGAATTAAAGTAATAGTGAATTGAATTGTTTGGTCTCAAGGCTATCATCCAATTGAAGGTCACACCAGAATGTGGTCTTTAAATCATATCATAAGTCATTCTACGAAATAAACTCTAATTTTGTTAGATTTGCACAAAATTTTCAAAAGTTTTTTCACATTAAAAACCAATATTATAGCGAACTTTGAATTCGAGAGCAAATATTTTTACAAATTTCCTAAACTTTTCACTAAAATTAGACATTTTATCTCAAATTTCATTTTCCCATTACTTTTGGTTAACTTTTAGACAATCTCTAAATTTGAGCCATTGATTGAATGATATGACAATAATTGATAAATTTTAAATTAATTAAAAATCAATTTTAAAATATTACTATAAATGAAATTACAATATAATACAGTACTGTATTAATAATATGAATATAAGTTTTCTTATAATGCTGTCAAATATAATAGACTATTAGTAGTGAAGTATTTGTAAGTTAACATTAATGTAATGATAATTAGCCGATGAGTTGACATTACCTGATGTTTTCGTATCTTTCGATAAACAGACTTTTGAGACAAATTTGATTGAAATAAATGTTATAAAATAT